CAGCAAGATGTCTCTGTCATTTCCAGAGTTTGGAAGTTGCTTATTTCTTGTTTGCTTAGGTAATATTGTATCATTCTGGAGTCTTTGATGGAGTTGAAGAATAGTTAGTTATAGTTATAGTTTTTCTTAGTTATGATAAAGATAAAATAGATGTAAATATTGTAATTTTTACTCGATAACTGTTTTGTTATATGTAATTTTGCTATGTTAAAGTTAAAGCCTTTCCTTTTGGTTTAAACAGAAAAAGGGGAAATGATGGAGGAAGGTCATTGGTTAATTATAATAAAGAAACTGCTTGGCCTCATAGGTTAAAACATAGGTGGGAGGAGTAAACAGAACAGAATGCTGGGAGGAAGAGGAAGTGAGGTAAGATACCTCAGACAGAGGCCATGCTCCCCTTTTCCAGGCAGATCAATGAAGCTCCAACCCAGGATGGACGTAGGCTAGAATATTCCCGGTAAGCGCACCCTGGGGTGCTACACACATTATTAGAAATGGGCTAGTCCAGGTGTGAGAGTAAGCCGAGAAGAGGCTAGATAGTAAGAGTTAGCCAAGAAGAAGTTAAAGCTAATGGGCCAAGCAGTGATTTAATTAATACAGTTTCTGTGTGGTTATTTTGGGGCTAACCTAGCCAGGTGACAGATACGAACAAGCAGCCTCCCTCACTTCTATAAGTTAGACAGAACTCTATATAACATGAACCAAGGAGAGGAAAAATGTAAGTAACTTCTGGAGTGAAATTAAAGCAGATTTTTATAAAGAGTCTGTGTTCTTCGTTTGGTCATAAATTTATGGGGCAAGAAAAGAAGTTTTCTAGATAATTTAAATAACTAAATTTTGTAAGACATCTCAGTAGAGATAAATCCCATGTCCAAGTTTTCCTGGAGATGTTTTCTGTTAAAGGTCCTCCACTTAGGGAAAGAACAGTGTTTCAGGACATCAAGGCCTATGTTGCCTCTGGCAATGACTTCCATCCTATCCTGTCAGATCCACAAATTCCTTGTTTTCTAGGAATTTTACCTGACATCTGTTGCTGTTTTTCAGGAGCCTCGTTAAACCCCATATAGAGAAGATACACAGCCCTCCCTCACAAGGCCACTCCCCTCAGCCCTCCTGCACCCTTGGTTTGTGTGCAGCTTCCCCTGCAGTTTCTCTCACTGTGTCACCCAGAGCACAGTAGTACAGGGCAGAGTCGGACAGTTGCACTGAGGACTTCTGCAGGTGGAAGGAGCTGCTGCTCTTGTTGAGGCTCGCATAGAAACCTTGATGCTCTATCCTCTTTTTGTCTGTCAAGGTCTTCAGAAGTAACTGGGGAGCTTTCCTGGGATATTGCACATACCAGAAAAGGGAAGGACTTGTGTAAATAGTCTCATAGTTGCAGTTCAGCTTCATAGGCAACCCCTCTGTGACAGTAACCTGGCCTTCTGTCTGAGTGACTGACTCTCCATTGCTCCTTTCTGAAAATAAATGATGAGAAATTACTCTTCTATGTGAGAAAAAAGGCAAAGACTGTCATAGCTGTAAGAAAATGACATCATCATTACTTAGACTAAATATAACTTACTGAACATTAAGAGGAGCAGCAGAAATGAGCAGATGTCAAGAAGGATGTTCATAAGGAAAAACGATGCTTGGTTCTTGAGTACACCAATCTCACAGGGCAAGTCTCTTTCAGAGCCTTATTGAAGCTCCTCACTCATAAGCAAGGACCTCCTTCTGCACAGTGGCAGTCTGTCATGTGACACTACCACATGGGTGCAGACATTAACCACATCTGAAGACATAGCACCCTCTGATGATTTACCTCCAAACTGCACTAAGATGTCTACACCACACTTAGTAAATAAAATTGAAGCCTCATCCAAAGGAAGCAGAATTCAAGTCTCCAGTGGATGTCTAAAATCACCAATATTACTGAACTTTATGTATCCTGGGGTATTTAGGGTGATGAATGTACATAAAAGAATACACACACACGGAAAAAGAAAGAGGAAGGGTAGAAAAAGGGGAGAAGGAAGAGAATCATGGAGAAAAAGAAAGAGAAAATGAAGCAAAACTAGTGAATAAAAGAGTTTTTGATTAAATTTTATGTTGCATTTTCTCTCACAGAGTAGTAGGCATTTCCCCTGCTTAATATGTAAGAATCAGAAATCTCCAGGTGTTTAGAAAAAAAGTTTCAGATGCCCTATTGTTTGTTACTGTGCATTGTTATTAAAGAATGAAAAGACTCACAGTAAAGAAGTTTCCTTGAATCTCAGAAGGAACTCAGAGTTTTAGAATATTTTAACAGTGTTAAACTATAGTGATATTTTGATGTGGGAGTCCCCTCTGTGTGCTGTCATTACCATTAATGAATAAAGAAACTGCCTTGGCCTGTTGATAGGGCAGAACTTAGATAAGACAGAACTGAATGCTGGGAGAAAGAAGGGTGGAGCCAGAGAGACACCATGAAGCTGCCAGAGACAGACATCTTTCCCCAGTAAGCCACTGCCATGTAGCAATATAAAGATTAATAGAAATGGGTTAAATTAAGATTTAAGAGTTAGTCAATAAGAAGTTAGAGCCAATGGGCCAAGCAGTGTTTTAATTGATACAGTTTCTGTGTGGTTATTTCAGGTGTGTGCTAGCCAGGTGGCTGGGACAAAGAAACAGCCTCTCCTTGTAACAACATTTGACATTGAAGTGAATGTTTTTGACATTATGAGATTCCTATAAGCACCAGGAGCAGAATGCTACATATAAAAGTGATGTATTTGGATGTCAAGTTATCCAACCACAAAGAAAAGTGAGAAGTTATGAGAGGTTGGGGGCATAGTAGTGAAGGTAGACTAGTGCATGGGGGCCTTTGAAATCATAGACGCTCCATTCCTGGCTCCACCTCTGCTTGTTGATCATCAGGATATGAACAATCAATGCAGCATATTCCCACTTAAGGAAACAGAGCTACTCCAGGCACTGTACTGTGCTAGTGTAATAAGCTAATAGACATTATAGCCATTTTATCTATCTATCTATCTATCTATCTATCTATCTATCTATCTATCTATCTATCATCTATTTACTTACTGACTTGCTTGATTACTTAAAGAACCACAACATACAAGCCTTAACTAGGAAATTGCTTGCTTCTTTTAGTAAGAATGAAAAGAAAGAACAATAAAATATCAATTATATTTAAAACTGCAGACACAACAGAATCAGGCAAAATTCAACTGTAATTATTAAAGAGATTAGTGATGTTATAGAGAAACCTATTGCGTCTCCCTGGAATGATAGAAGTGGTTTCTGGGAAGTAAGATAGCCCAGGATATGAAACTAGAAGACTCAGAGTAAAATTGTTGATGTTAGCTCAGTTCAGGAAATAACCAGGCTAGCTAAAAGATAAAACAATTATATTTGTATTTATTATAAGGGAAAAACTCATGAAACAGGAAAGAAAAATCCAAGCTCAGCTGTGCTGCAAGGGAACCACACAGAGAGTACAACTGAGCTGTGTGCCATTTTTGTCTGGGTCCCAGAAAGCCACACTATAAAGATAATTGGTTGACAAAGCTTTCCCATCATTAAATTGTCTGGGAAAATGGTCTTTTTTTGGCACTTTCAGGAAAAGAAACATACTGGAAAATTTTTCCATAGTTAAGCCACTTAGACATTCAGAAGCCACCCACTGCAGCTGAGATGAAAGGGGCCAGGCTACATGGGAAGTGGCAGCAGAACTCAGTATCATATACATATTTCTCTTTTTGAAGACATGAAGGACATAACAGTCAACTTCTGCTTTTCAGTGTTCACTAGTATTGGTGAATATATTAAAATTTTTATTCTTATAGCTAACAAGAAATAGTTTCATGGAACACAGATAATACTAAGAGACTGTAAAAAGAAAACTGAATTGGATCTACACAAAATTCAGTAAGGTGAAAACTGATAGAAACCAAAGTTTACATGAAAACTTTGACATAGGCTCTAAGCAGTACAAAGGATGTTGCCATGAGCTCAACAGGAGCAGAGCCAGTGTTTACATCTGGACTCCTGAGGAAATTTACTGAAATATGACCAGATCTGAGACTCCGTCTGTGAAGCACTTGTCTTGAGCCAAAATTGAAATCTGATCAACCAAATAAAGAGTCAAAGTGTAACTCCCAACAGCAAAGAAGGAATGTGACTGAATCAAGCAAGAGTCAACAACCAGGTTCATGTTGCTCTTAACCTTGATCAAAGAAGCTTTATTTTCAGCGAGTTAACACAGATACATAACCAGCAAAGGTATTGAGAATAAATGTAGAGTGTCCAAACCTAAAGGAAACATCTGTATCAGTCCCTAGATACAAGACAGGAAAACATCATAAATCAGGGAGGTTGAAAAAAATATAGAAGTCCAAGGATGAGGAGAATGCTCAAACTGTCAAGAGAAAGATGCTGTGAGTGCTCAGTCATAGATAAAACACCCCTCTTTATCCCAGCAAAGCGTAGGGGACATCTTTGGAGAAAGGTGAAAACAATGAAACCAAACCCAAAACAATAACAACACAAAACTAGTAAGATCTGGCGATGGGGAGAAGATTTTCAAAAAACTCTTCTCTGGTTCTGACAAGGCTGTTGTTTACATGAGCTCATAGAACCTGTGGTTACTTGTATCAGAAATGCATAAAATCAAGACAGCTTAAAATTCAAGTGTGGAAGTTAAAGGGCTCCTGAGGCTGCATTTCTTGCTGAGGAGCTATTGGCAATGATGACTGTTGGCACAGGAGAGTCATTTTTCTTTAAGAAGGGACCCACTTGAAGGCTATGCATCTGTAGATCATCCAACACCCATAAGCATATAGCCAGCACTAATTAGTTTCAGTGGGCTATGAAAAAAATGATGAGAAGGAACAGGAGACATGAAGATTAGAGCACTGTGTATTTAGGATGAGATATTTTCATAAAGTAAATACTTTTCTAATCAAGCATGCTCTAGTTCAGGCCTTCATAGGGCTCTGTAGGTTTGGGTGCAGGCTCTAGGTGCCTGGGAAGCACTGTGTTATCACTGCACAAAAATAGACAGCTGAATCACTGGGCTGGGAGACTTTGATGTGCAGAGAAACATGCCTGCTGTCTTTGTTGAGGTGAATGGTGAATCTACCTTCTTCTTTTTCTCCACTAGAGAATATAGACGTGAGCAACTCGGGGCCTTTCCCAGGCTGCTGTCTGTACCACCTGAAGTTATCAGAATTGCCATCACTGAAAGTGCAGTTGAAAGAAGCCATGGTTCCTTCTGGGACAATGAGGAATTCCGGGTTCTGCTGCAACTTCTGCTGGCTGCTCACCCCTGTATAGAGAGACAAAGTTCAGACAACCTGAAGTTGCAAGACTAGATGCACAGAGAAGCAAACACACCAATGAAACTCTTCCATGGCCCTCCCATCCCTTAACTAGATATTAAAGCCATCTGTGTTTTTAGCATTATCCTAGAGTAGGCACTACCCTCACACATCACACCTTATATCCAAAAGAAATGCCCAAACTCACAGTTAAAGTGAAGCCACAGGAATACTAGGGAAACAATCAAGGATTTCATTATTCTCTCTTCTGTCCTGACTGAGGATCCAAATTTTAAGCCCAGAAAAAGATTAGTTTTAATTTCTAATGTTTCTCTTCCAGAAAACATCAAGATACTGTGTCACCATGTAGGAAAATAAAGCTCTTTTTATCACCCCTGTTTCACCAGCAAACTCCTCCCCCCAAGCTCTCTCATTACAGACCACTGGATGGGTTCCTCATGTCTCTGAGAAGAGGCTGCCATCTTGTGGATCCTGACTACGAGCAAAGATTTGCTAAAAATAAATGCCTTTCTTATTGAGAGGATAAAATAAAAATCTGACAACTTGGTTTGATACAAATTTAGGAGACATTTGCTTCAAGTCCATATGGGGGAACATGTATATTTTAAAGAATTTCAAGTTAAACTTCAAATATATCCTGAGTTACCTCTAACAGCCACTTCCTTATATTCAGCGATTTAGATGTTTTCTATCAACACATCTGAGTAAGGTTCTGTAGGACAGTAGTATTTCACACAGCACAACTTCTCTCTAGGGCAGACAATGCACCTGCATAAAACACTTCATCTTTGACTTTTGAAAGAACTTCTTCTAATTAAAGAAATTCTAGAGAAACTGAGTAGGTTAAAATCTCACTTAATACTATGTTTCCATTTCAAAATCTAAGGAACATATCTTTTATTTTTGAGATAGAGTTTGCTATGGTGGTTTGAATTACAATGTCCCCTTAGGCTTATCTATTTGAATCTGTGGTCCCTAGTTGGTGGAACTATTTGGGAAGAATTAGGAGGTGTGGCCTTCTTGGAGGAGGTGTGTCATTGTGATGAGTTTAGAGATTTTGAAACTCCAAGCCATTCCCAGTTAGGCCTTTCTCTCCGTCTCTTGCTTGTGGATCAGGGTTACTTTTAACAATGAGTCAAAAAAAAAAAAAAAAAAAAGTCCAACATTGACATCCAGTCTTACACCTTCATTTTCAATGAAATAAATGAAAACTTACTCCACAGGAAAACCTGCTATGATACTAAGTTTACATCAATTTCAAATATGAAAATTGTATTAAGATGATGACAGGATCTCTTTATACATATAAAACTAAACACATATGTACCTCCTTTGTTGCAATACATCTATAGTACTATCTTATGAATTTATCTTTTAAGTTAGGTAAAAGGGAAGATGCTAAAAAAGATATTAACTTTTCATTTGAATATATAGTAATGCTTACCATTGTTCATTAATTTTGAATGGCTCAAAATTATTAAATATTGTTTTTATTTTAGCCAGCAATATTATCCTTAGGATTGAAATTTTTAAATTTTAGAAATATTTTATTAATTCTTTCAGAATTATATGTATTGTCTTTTAGTTCTATTTACATGCTATCTCCTACCTAATAGCTCCTAGATCCTTCCCAACCATACTCACATAACTTTGCGTCTTTTTAAAAATTTCTTAACAACTAATTGATCCAGAGAAGAAAATGAACAGAATTTAAGAGACCCACAGTACATTTTTCATATAGAGATATCAATATTAATATTCTAGAAGGAAGACTGTACTGAAAGGAGGAATAGTTGAAGAAGACAGTACCATAAATCTTTCCAAATTTAATGGAAGACAAAAGGCACACATCCAAAAAGCTCAGTATGAACCAAGAGGACAATGGCAGTGAGTATTAATGGAATGTCATTGCTGAAGAAAAAAAAAAAAGAAAGTCTAGAAAACTACTCCAAAAAGTGCCCAACGAGGGATTTTTATCAAGATCAATAATTTTCTGTTCATTTGCTTCTTGTGTCTTTTTCCCTTTTTGTCAGATCGGGTCGTGTCAATTGACTTTTAGTTTTCAGAACTGCTTATCTTGAAAATAAAATATGTTGTTCTGTTGACCGAGCTGTGGGTCAGCACTCTGTCAACTTCCTACAACATTGTCCAATGCTTCTAGTGAATTTTTTAAAAAGTAATTTCCCCCTTGAAGAATTCTCTGCCTTGGTAGAGTCCTGGCTTATATGAAATACAAGCACACCCTTTTTAGCTCATTTCTTCCAGGAGGCACCTGTCAGGCCAAAGCAATCAAGCTTTATTCTTTGATAAAAAGCTCCACTTGTTTCTACCAATACCAAAATCCTAGACAAGTCCCAAGTTATTATTTAAGAATTGTTTGAGTTAAGAGGATGAGGGAGGGAATATGGGGAGAGACTGCTAAAATTAAGGGCTATTTATGGAATGTTAAAGAAATCTAATGCAGTAGAAGCTTCCTAAAATATATACCTATATGAAAGTGACCTGGGGGAAATTGCTAAATAATGTGGGAGAGAAAGTAGCATTTGACATTTCTTGTCATCAAATGAAGCTTCCAGTACTGTGATAGGGTTACATCTAATTAGTTGTTGGCCAAAAGAGTCCTATGGGAATTCCCAAGCAACCCAGGTTGTTGTCAGTAGTATATGTTGCTCTCCACAAGCTGAGTCTAAGGCCCCTGTGCTGAAGACAACACACAACTCATTAATCTATTCCTGCATAGAGCCTTCACACTTATGTTCTAGCAATAGTACTTTATTAAGTTTCAAAAGAGAAACCTAAGCACCAGCTACAAACCCTTTGATCTACAATGGTGCCCTGCTTGTAAGATGTGCTAAGGCAATGATAGTAAAAGTTGTGGGAGTAACCAACCAATGTTAGGTTTAAGTTAATGCCCACTCCATGAAATAGAACCCATACCTACCACTCCTTTTTTGACCAAGAATCTGAGACTAGATGACCTTAGGACGTAAGGTAAAAGTAAATACTACTATTCTAAAAAAAAAAAAGTAGCAAAACCATTCCCAATGACATTCTGCTGTACTCATAGATTAGTGCCTAGTGCAGTTATCATCCAAAAAAATTCTCCTGCAATATACAGAAACAAATACAGAGACCCACATATAGACATTATGCAGAGAATGAGAGACCTTGGAACACATAGCCGAAAATGAGATGTCTCCATCAAATCTTTCCACTCAGCATTAGGGTGGAGGAGGTAGAAAGATTGTAAGAACCAGAGGGATGAATAATACCAAAAAATAAGGCCCTCTAAATTGACATGATCAAAGCTCATATGAATTCAAAGAGACCGAAGCAGCATGCCCAGGGCCTGCGTGGCTCTTCACCAGGTCCTGTGGGTATACATTATGGTTTCCAGTTTAGAATTTTTATGGGATTCCTAAGTGTACAAACAAGTGGGTCCCTATTTCTTGCACTTCCTCTTGGGCTCTTTCCTTTGGTCGGTTTGTCATGTTGAAATGTAACATCTTAGTAGTATTTTTTTTCTTGTTATGTTGTATTTTATCAGTATCTTTAGAAGCTTGGTTGTTTTCTAATGAGAGACACAAAGGGGTGGATCCAGATGAGAGAGAGGCTGGAGGAACTGTGAGTAGAGGCAATGGAAATTTGGTAAAGATATATTATGTGATAAAAATCAATTTTCAATAAACGAAAATACAGCATGGGGCAAAAGCTTTTCTACGGACTTTCAGTTACCCTTCTCTTAAGTTCTTGTGTGGTACAAATTCTATGTGTTTTTTGGCTGCTATACATGAGTGATCTGTCCTCTCACAGGCTCTCCTTAACATGGGCCTCTGACAGACGGCAACAGGATCTCTCTGGGACACTGTGTTAACCTGTGCCACTCACAGTTCCAGTTTCCTATCCTTTGTGTGATACAATTGGTGTTGTGAAACCAAAAGAAGACCTGGAAATTCACAGTCGATGACTCCTTAAGTCAAAAGTTTCTTAGCATTTCCAGCCCTTCTTTCTTCCTCTGAACACTTCTTGTGTTTGTTTAGCCTTTGTTCTTGTTTGTGGAGTACACAGCTACTCTTTGCTATAGGACAATGGTGTGTGGTTGTTATAACTGGTGAGAACACCACTGAAGTTAAAAACACACTTTTTCTTTTTCCCAACACGTATCAACTTCAAACAGCTTCCTGGTTATGGGTCGGACCCCATATCAACTTTTTCTCTTCCCTCTCAGTGCTGTGATTCTGTCTGGTTTGAACCCATGCAGGTCTTCTGTCTGCTGCCATAGTTTCTGTGAGTTCAGATGAGCATCAGTCCTTTTTGTTAGAAAGGCGACATTTGCTTGGAGTCATCCACCACTTCTGACTGTAACAATCCTTCCACATAGATTCTTGAGTCTTTAGGAGACGGGAATGATGAAGCCATCGTATTTATGACTGAGCACTCTAAAGTCTCTTATTCTCTGCACATTGTCCAGTTGTGTATGTCTGTGTCACTGCCCATCTACTTAAAGAAGTTTCTCTGATATGGGCCAAGCAATGTAATGCACTAATCTGTGGGTATAGGAACATGTCACTATAGTCATTTTATTGCTATGTTTCTTTGGACAGATTAGTAGTATCAGGGTTTCCCCCAGGCAATTGACCTATTCAGGCTCAGGATCTTGGCCACTTTACACAGTGCAAAATAGAGGTTGAATCTTAAATCCAAATTTAAGAAGTTTTTTTTTTTTCCTTTTCCCAATAACATCTGTGCTACTATTGCTTCAAAGTATCTTGCCGGAGTTATGGTTACAGTTTATAGAGTTTGTAGCTGGTGGTAATGGTAATTACCTTTCTTTTCTAATAGCATAGTGAGTACCTTTCTGCACTGTGAATACTAGTCAGTAGGGGTAAAAATTATATATAGATGGGCACTAGCTCACCTTCTCTGTGTTCAGTGACCTAATTAATATGGTAATAGGCATAATTAGAAAGCAATATGGCCTTACTGTTAGGTTGTGGAGAGAAATCAATAACCTTGGAAATAGGTTACAATGTCTGCTGGTAGGAGAACAAACTAGTATAGCCACTATGGAAGTCAGTGTGAAAATGCCTCAAAAGGCTAAAATCAGATCCAATACACCACTCTTGGGCTTATACCACAAAGTATTTGGTATCTTACTAAAGAGATACAAGTCCACCCATGTTCACTACTTGTCTACTAGTAATAGTCAAAAATTGGAAACAGCCTAGACGTTCTTTCTTTTTCTATTTAAATAACATTTTTTTCATTTATTTTACATACAGACTGCAGTTTCCTTCCCTCCTCTGCTCTCATTTTTGTTCCTCTCCCCCAATTCCCATTTATTCCCCTCCCCATCCACTCCTCCTCTAGCTCAACTCATAGATGGGCATTGCTCCCATGGACTTGAACAAAGCATGGCACATCAATTTGAGGCAGGGCCGAGAGCCTCCCCTTGCTTCAAGGCTGGGCAAGGTAATCCAACATGGAGAAAGCCAGATAAGCACCAGGGACTCACTGTTAGGAGACTTACAAAGAGAAAAATCTAAAGAACTACCACACAGGTGCAGAGGGTCTAGGTCAGTGGCATACAGGCTCCCTAACAGTTGGCTCAGAGTCCATAAGCTCCCACAAGCACAGGTCAGTTGTCTCTTTGGGTTCCCCCATCAAGACGCCCCCTCCCCGACTTGTACAAATTCCTACTCCCTTTCTTCAGTAAGACTCCAGGAGTTCAGCCTGGTGCTTGTCTGTGGATCTGAGATGCAGATGATTAATGACCACTGAGAGGGGAAGATCGGCTTTCTCCAGAGGTAAGACTTCTGATAGGGTGATAGGTTATCCAGTCCCAAGAGGTCACCCTAAACACATAGGCATAGGAACAAATGTTCTAAACAAGATGCGTTTGTGTGTGTGTGTGTGTGTGTGTGTGTGAAGAGAGAGAGAGAGAGAGAGAGAGAGAGG